TTTAGGGAAAATACGTGTCATAATATCAATTTTATGACGTGTGCTTTATTTTTATTTTTATGAACTCACAGTTTTTTTATATTACTTAATTCAGGGAAAAACTAAAGTGACGTCGACAAATTCAGATATAGCAATGTTTATGCTTTGACGTATGCTCTGGGCATAATGCTATCTAAACGAATCTGAACTCATATTGGACCGTCGACCAAGACAAGAAGACACGATCGGGCGATCATAGGAGCATCCGTATTTAGAAATGACACGATTTTGTACACCCAGATTCTAGATCAATAAAAAGTGACTTTCTCGTATATTCTTAATTATCGGTAAGATATATGACAATTTCAGTGCAATCTGGCTATTTTTTGTTAATTTTGTTATAATTTTAAAAAATTAGAATAGAATCAAATGAAAGAATAATTTATTAATTGCGCACGAAATGATCATTTTCGAATCCCACTTATGTTATCTGAATTTTATAAACCGGAAACTAAGTAAAGTATCACTTCCGTATATCGGAGGTCACTCGAAATTTGAAAGTAATCCATGTACAAGATCTTACACTTACATTTTGAAATTTCGTATATCAAACTTAAAAAAGTATGTACGTTATCGTGTTCCCAAGGAAATATAGAAACGAACGACTTCTGGTTACAAGAAATCATACTTAAGTTGATTGTAAACTTTTCATGCAATCTTAAAGATCTATTTATATTTGAAATTTTGTGTATCTAGCATTAATGGTACTAAAGTTATCAGCTTTTGAGAGACCAGAAGTAGAGAAGCCTACGTATCAAAAGCTTATACGTGATTCTGCGGATGTCTCTCATTTCGCCATTTCGCGTTCCGCGTCTCGCATTTTACCCGACAACCGTGGGTTCACAGTTCTTGAGAACCGGATGTGGGATGACTGTAGTAAACAAACTGTGTAACAATAGAAGGAAGTTTATCTTAGGGTCTAGACTAGATTTTCTAGATCTAGATTTAGATCTAGATTTAGAATAATAATAAACGAGACTATAGATCTACGTGGTTAGAATATAGATCTAACGAGAATCGTTTCTATAATCTAGATCTAACTAATGCACCTAGTCTTAATCTTAAATCTAGGTCTGTAGTCTGTAGATTAGTCTCGCTTCTCATCTGTCATCTAGTTTCTTCTTACTAGATTCTACTACTAGATCTAGATCTAGTACTACTAAGTCACTACACTGAGACACGGCTACAAAAAAGATTGAAAAATGAGTTTAAATACACAGTCAGATGATGTTGAAAGCTTAGGAAGTGATTCCTTTTCTGACAATGATGGTGAAAGGAAACCATTATTAGGTGGTGGACCAGCCTCTGTTTTTAGCAGGAATGTAGGCTCTACTTTTGTGTCTAGGCATTTTAAGAGATTCACAAGAAGTTTAAGTAATGCTTCTATTAGAAGAGAGGATGGGGGACCAATTCTTGATTCAGCCGCTATGTCCCCACATAGAGTTCTTGGTACCTTTGCTGGAGTTTTTTGTCCTGTAGCATTATCAATGTTCTCTACACTGTTATATTTAAGAGGTGGTAAGTAATTGTCAAAATAGTATAAATAAAAAGTTAAAAACAATTTCACATTACATTTTGGCTAGCTAATCCGACATTTTAATAAATTACTATTAAGACATGTCTTTAGCTTTTAAAGTCTTTAATTATAATCTTAGCCTACTAGATCTACCTATTTTAAACCAAAATGCTTTTACAATCAAATTTGAATGGGGCGTGTGGGGGGGGGGGGGGGAGATTGGCTGGGTCCATCAAGTCTATTCTACTAATTCTAGTCCATCATGTGGTTGTTCTCATGTTGTAAATAACTGCAGTAAAGTTCTTAAACAATTCAGTTACTCCCTGTATTTCATGTTTATTTTGTAACAATTAAATTAAGTCAAACAATTAAATCTGGTTTTTATGCTCTTATAGATTGTGTAACCAAACAGTAGGCCTACATCATTATTTTGTGTCAAAGCCTAAGATGATGTAGATATAGGCTAGTTTTTTTTTTTTAAATTAATATATTCAAAAAGTTAAAATTACATTTTTAAGTACAGGGCATGTAAACTGTGCTCGCTTGGTCAGATGTTAAGTGGGTGAAAGGTGGTTGAGTAATAGAAAGTGTTGAAAACAGCACATGCTTGGCTCATTTAGATTTCTATAGTACATAAAGTAGAGTAGTCCTACAAATCAAAAAGCCTTTTAATTGTTATTCTTTTTTTCAGTACAAAATAGAAATTAATAAACCAGGAGTGATCTCCCCTAAACTTTCTCGAATATTCTTGTATAACACTATGAGGGACGGCAACTCGGGATATAGACAATATTTTAAATCTATTTTTAATTACTTAAACTTTTTAAAATAGAATAGAATCTCGTAGAAAAAAGAATTGCACATCAAGTGAACGCCTAACAAAAATGTGTATAATAGTGCGGAATATTATTAGACTAATATTTAAAGTTCAATTCTGTATGTTTGTATGTAACCAAGGAACTCAAAGGTATATAAGAAAAAATAATACTTCTATTGCCTCAAGTGTTAAATGTCTAAAGTACTCATCGTAAATTCATGTTTTAAAAAATTAATACTGAAAGTGTTGTAAAACAATTTTCCTTATTTAAACTGATAGTAATAATTGTCGGCATGTTCATTTAACAAAATTTAAAAAAAAATATCATCATTTACAAAAATTCTAATTATGTCTGATAATTATTTATCTTTAGTCCTTTAGCACTTATTACTTCCCTTGAAAATTAGGAAAACACAATTACTTCCCTTTAAAAAACATTACATCCGGTGGAAAAGAATTTATTTTTTATTACTTTGTTTTGGTGTTGGGAAAAAAGTAATTACATAATTAGCGGGGATTGATCAAGTGCAATGTTGTAGGTATTTTTAATACTGCCTATTCTATACACTGAACGTACTGTTTACTAATTATTTATTTAATCAAACACCTTTGACGTAAAAAAAAACATCGTTACTTGGGAATGGGAATTCCCTCAGGTTATTATTTGTCTTTTTTTGCGCATTCATTTTTGTGTCTTTTTTTGCGCACGAAGGGGAATTCGTTTTTGTCAGTCGCACCAGAAAGCTCTTTTATAGACACCTGCACCAAACTACAAGAAGATATACCATTTTATATAATACTAGCCGTCCTGGTATGTGTTGTTTTTGTGTTGTGTTTATGTTGTGTTTGTGTTTAGGGTGGGTGATTCCGGATATATGCTGATTACTAAGCACACATGTCATGGTTTTTACAGATAGGTTTCTCACAAAGGCCAATGTAGGGCCTGCTGGGATGGCTAGTACTTTATAAATTCACATGCATTTTTTTGAGAAATCGGAAATATCATAAATTATTACTTCTGGTCAACGGAAATTACTCAAAATTTGACAGAAGGCAGATAATTAGATCTTTTACTTACTTGTGAAATTTCATTTATCTATCTGAAAATGAAAAAGTTCTCAAGTTATAGGCTTTTGAAAAATTGAAAGTAGAAAAAGTTCCACTTCCGGTTATTGGAAATTGCTGAAAAGTTGATACAGATCTACAAATTTGATATAATACTTATATGTGAAATTTCATCAACCTAAATGTAACGGTACTCAAGTTGTTGTGTTTACAGACATACACACACATACGGACAAATTGCAAAACTATGTTTTTCCTAATCAGGGAGGTGTGAAAAACATCGAGATTATAAAAAATCTTGATTTTTTTTTTAACAATTACAATACTTCCTCTATACTTTGTATACGAGAAAGTTAAAACTTGGCAATAAAAAAAAATCCCAAAGGCAGACTTTCAAATGTAATATCCTTAACTCCCTACTATTAGGCAGCAAATGTTTCTACGCTATTCTATTCTATTTTAAAAAGTTTAAGTAATTATAAATGGATTAAAAATCATGTCTTTATCCCTAGTTGCTATCCCACATTGTTTTATATAAGAATATTCTATAAAGTTTAGGGGAGATCACTCCCGGTTTTGTTTGCATTGTTGCAAAGGCTTGCTTGGCATTAGAGATATGTGGTTTCATTTCAGCAGTGCAGTCTCCTTCATAATTGACAATGCTGCCTAAATATGTGAAATCATTTACTTCTAATACTTGTGGGTTGTTCTTCGCTAGTTTTATTTTGTTTCATAATTTTGGCTTTTTTAATGTTTAATTTGACACCAACTGTACAAAAGAAATAAGTCTGTGTAGTATTTCATGAATTCCTTTTTGACTGCTGGCTAGTAGAGTTATGTCATCTGCAAAATCCAGATCCTCTAGTCTAGTTGCTAGTGTTCATCTTTTGCCTCTTTCTTTGTCTGTAGTTTGTGTCATCAGCCAGTCTATTGCTAGGTTAAAAATCAATTTGACCAGAACACATCCTTGTTTGACTCCTGTCTGAACCATAGATGGGCCAGTGATATGGCTACCACATAGGACTGTGCATTGGAACCCTTTGGATAAGATTATAATGATGATTTTTTCTGGAAAACCATACAGTAGTTAGGTTTTCAAGAAGTTGTTTTTATTGGTGCTATCAAAAGCCTTTTCAATTAATAATGCTTAGAGCGGACTGTTTCATTCATAAATTTGCTGTAGTCTTTGTAGCAAGGTAAATATGTGGTCAATGCATGTCTTGCCTTTTCTAAACCTAGCTTGTTTTTTCTGCATTTTTCCATCAGCAGCTTTGGAAATTCTGTTATGAATGATTCTGTAAAATATTTTACTGGTGAGAAGTTCCTTCCCACTTTTCACAGTTTTGTATTTCACTTTTTGTTCGGCTTGCTAATGACTCAAAGACCCTTACAACATAATAAAACAACTTAAACAATGGAAACATTGTACCTCTAAATAGATATTATATACTGCTGAAGTACAACTTAAATATCTCTTTCTTTGAGTCTCTATAATAGGAATCACCAACATATTGTCATCTTTAATCAATTATTTCAGTTATTATTTCCTGATTTATCCTTCAGGATTTGTGGTTGGGCAAGCAGGACTTTTAGAAACATATTCCATGCTTGTTTTGTCTTACTTCATCTTGGCCATGACAGTTCTTTCCATTTGTGCCATCTCAACGAATGGAGCACTTGAAGGAGGAGGGGCCTATTGTATCCTTTAAGTTTTTACATGTCATGGCTAGTAACTTATCTTTTTACATTTTAGTTTGAAAAAATTATTATAAAATTTAGTTGTAAAGTTGAATATTTTCTAGGTTGGACTCTAGTTGTAAATACAATTTGTGAAGTTATCATTGTCGGCTACAGCTATTGATGCACACAAAAATATTTCTTTGTTAAAATGTTATGCTACATTTTTTTGATGACTTTGCTATGTAACAAGCAGATGTGTAGACCTCTGAAAGCCAATATAAAGTTGAAGCCTTAACAACTATCAGACATGATTAGCCGTGCTTTAGGCCCAGAGTTTGGAGGAAGTATTGGATTTATGTTTTTTGTGGCTCAAGTCTTGTCTACAGCACTGTATATAACTGGCTTTGTTGAGGGAGTGCTACAGAACTTTGGAGTTGGTGGTGAGTCTACAATGGTGATTTGAATTGCAGTTGGAAGAGAATTTATTTTTTTACAAATGATAGTTCCCATAACTTTTGCTTTAACTTTCTGTTTTAAAAATAATTTAGATGTGTCAGTTGTGGAATTAATAACATTCATGACCACAGATGTGACAGTTGTTGTGGAATTAACAACATTCAACTACAAGATGGTGCATTTAATAAAACTGTATTTTGAACTCTATTTTCCAGGTACTTCTACCCCCAACAGTGGTCTTCCCATCTCAGAGTGGTGGAAGTATTTGTACTCAACTGTTTCTCTCTTTGTGTGTCTTCTTATTTGTATTGTTGGGGGTGCTATGTTTGCTAGGACTTCAGCTGCCATTCTTATTGTAAGTTCATTACACTGTGTCATCTAAACAATAGTCATTCAATATTGTAGAATATATTTATACAAATGGAAGCTGCTAGGGTCAAAAGTTGGCAGTTTAAAGCACTCAGTACTTTGACTAAAGCTCACATTTTAAAATATTTCATTGAGGTCAGAGTAGTCGGTTACCACCACATTTATCTAGAAGTTGTGGGTTACCATCAAGTTTATCTAGAAGTTGTGGGTTACCATCAAGTATATCTAGAAGTGGGTTACCATCATGTTTATCTAGAAGTTGTGGGTTACCATCAAGTTTATCTAGAAGTTGTGGGTTAACATCAAGTATATCTAGAAGTTGTGGGTTACCATCAAGTATATCTAGAAGTTGTGGGTTACCATCAAGTATATCTAAAAGTTTTGGGTTACCATCAAGTTTATCTAGAAGTTGTGGGTTACCATCACATTTATCTAGAAGTTGTGGGTTACCATCAAGTTTATCTAGAAGTTGTGGGTTACCATCAAGTATATCTAGAAGTTGTGGGTTACCATCAAGTATATCTAGAAGTTGTGGGTTACCATCAAGTTTATCTAGAAGTTGTGGGTTACCATCAAGTATATCTAGAAGTTGTGGGTTACCATCAAGTATATCTAGAAGTTGTGGGTTACCATCACATTTATCTAGAAGTTGTGGGTTACCATCAAGTATATCTAGAAGTTGTGGGTTACCATCAAGTATATCTAGAAGTTGTGGGTTACCATCAAGTATATCTAGAAGTTGTGGGTTACCATCAAGTATATCTAGAAGTTGTGGGTTACCATCAAGTATATCTAGAAGTTGTGGGTTACCATCACATTTATCTAGAAGTTGTGGGTTACCATCAAGTTTATCTAGAAGTTGTGGGTTACCATCAAGTATATCTAGAAGTTGTGGGTTACCATCAAGTATATCTAGAAGTTGTGGGTTACCATCACATTTATCTAGAAGTTGTGGGTTACCATCACATTTATCTAGAAGTTGTGGGTTACCATCAAGTTTATCTAGAAGTTTTGGGTTACCATCAAGTTTATCTAGAAGTTGTGGGTTACCATCAAGTATATCTAGAAGTTGTGGGTTACCATCAAGTATATCTAGAAGTTGTGGGTTACCATCAAGTATATCTAGAAGTTGTGGGTTACCATCACATTTATCTAGAAGTTGTGGGTTACCATCACATTTATCTAGAAGTTGTTGGTTACCATCAAGTTTATCTAGAAGTTTTGGGTTACCATCAAGTTTATCTAGAAGTTGTGGGTTACCATCAAGTTTATCTAGAAGTTGTGGGTTACCATCAAGTTTATCTAGAAGTTGTGGGTTACCATCAAGTATATCTAGAAGTTGTGGGTTACCATCACATTTATCTAGAAGTTGTGGGTTACCATCACATTTATCTAGAAGTTGTGGGTTACCATCAAGTTTATCTAGAAGTTTTGGGTTACCATCAAGTTTATCTAGAAGTTGTGGGTTACCATCAAGTTTATCTAGAAGTTGTGGGTTACCATCAAGTTTATCTAGAAGTTGTGGGTTACCATCAAGTTTATCTAGAAGTTGTGGGTT